CCTGTACTGACCAGATAGCCACATTACGTATTATAATAGAGCAAAGCATTGAACTGAACTGACCACTTTACATTGAATTTATAGACTATGAAAAAACATTTGACAGCATTGATAGGGAATCTCTTTGGAAATTGATGGGGCACTATGGAATCCCACAGAAAATTATCAACTTGGTAAAGGCAACATATAAAGACATGAAATGTCGAGTTCTTCATGAGGGAAAGCTAACAGATGCATTTGAGATAAAAACAGGTGTGCGACAGGAATGTCTTTTGTCGCCTCTCTTATTTTTACTGGCTATAGACTGGACTATAAAAACAGTAACTGCTAACACCAAGAATGGAATTCAGTGGACCCCTACAAAACAGCTTGATGATCTGGACTTCGCTGATGATTTGCTCTTCTGTCCCATTCACGCAATCAGATACAAGATAAATTAAATATACTTAATGCGAGATCACAGCAGCTTGGTCTAAAAATCCATAATGGAAAGACAAAGATATTAGAAATAAATCAGGCAAATAGTAATGTGGTTTTTCTTAATGGCACCCAACTCCAAGACATGGAGTCGTACACCTATTTAGGCAGCAATGTAGAGATACAGTTGGAGGAACTGATAGAGATATTAAAATAATAATACAAAAGGCAAGAGGGGCTTTCATATCACCAGGGAATTTGTGGAGGTCAAACGAAATTAAAAGAAATACTAAACTAAAAATTGTTAATTCTAATGTCAAATCAGTACTATTGTATGGGCGGAAACACGGAGAACAACCAAGGCAATTACTAATAAATTACAGACATTTATTAACTGGTGCCTGCGCAGAATAGAGGGAATTAAATGGAATGATAGAATAACTAATGTAAAACTTTGGGAGAGAACTAAACAGGCTCCAGTGGACCAAGAGGTGAGAACAAGACGCTGGCGTTGGATAGGACACACACTGAGAAAACAGGAGAACAGCATAACTATAATGTCTTTTCATTGGAAACCACAGTGGCATAGGAATAAAGGAAGGCCAAAAAACACATGGAGAAGAGAGCTGGAGAATGAATTTAGAAAGATGGGGAGGACATGAGGAGAGCTCCATGCAATGGCGAAGGTTAGAACGACTTGGCGTGAGTTGGTTGAGGGCCTATGCTCCATTTGGCGATAGAAAGGCAGAAGAAGAAGACACAGTCACAGAGTGTGAGAGAGACTTGTGAAAATTGTCCAGAAGCTGTTAGGGACTGGAGTCAGGCGGACTGCATGCGTGCTACGTTAAAATAATCGTCACTGGAGACAGAAGCATTCCTGTCGAGACAGATTGCGAGGTGTCTTCATCGTATATGTTGTGTCTGAGTACATTCTGAGTCCTGATGAGTGGACTGAGTGTAAAAATGAGAACGGGCTGCGTGGTCTCGAGGCATGGTGTCCGCCTCGAGTGCTAGAGGTTCCGGGATTAAATCCCTGGTCTCTGGGTAGTTTGATCGAACGCCTGTGTGCATTGTTGCGCACGTAAAACATTCCTTCGCAGGTGGAAATTTGGAGTTTAAAATCTACTCAAAGTATTTCAAGATCCTCGCCGGTGCTACAGAGCCTATGCACTGTGCTGAGCTTCTTCGGACTCAGACTTGAGTTAGAAGAAGAACGGGACACTTATGGCTTAACCCCGTGTGCCATGATGTTGATCCTTAAAACCACAAAGTGTAAGAATGATATTGATTTCTAGGCTACCTATTTTAAAGCGGTTTTTTTTTTTTGTTGTTGTTGTCATTGTTAAAGTTTTTGTTGAGGCGTTAAAGTAATATTTGAAGTCTCCCCGTGGTGATTTGATTTGGTGAGGATGTCATTTTCAGGAGTCATATTTCTACACGTTTGCATGGTTTTATATCCTTGGTAATCTAGTTTTAATAAACACCTAACTGTATAAAGAAAAAGTCTAAACTACACACACATGTTTTCTCATTGTTTTTACTCTCCCTCTCTGACTTCCTCAATCCAACCACACCGCTACAGCTTCCTCCTCTCTAACCTCTCTAACACCCCCCCCCCCCCTTACCCCCGCCCGCTAAAAAAAAAACCGCGCATATATGTTACCCTCTGCAGAAAGTTTGCAGCAGTGTGGCCTTGAACTTTGAACTCATAAAGAAATAAACAAAAATATTAACACTGAAATTTACCGTTTGAACGAGGACAGTAAAAGACCAAACAACAAAGAAAATGTTTACATATTTTCCGGCAAAACTAAATTCAGGGTTGTACGCCATTAAGAAAAAGTTTATGGTAGCCGGTGTGTAGCAAGTAATGAAAATTACGGAAATTAGAATGACCATCTTTACTACTTTTTTCTCCTTCGCCGAATTCGTTTCTTGTTTTCCTGCAGATAGCGAGATAGATGTTTGTCTCCATTTCTGCTTCTTGTTGAGTTCATAGATGAGGATAGGTGTGGAAACGATGACAGATAACAAACAGACGACCGGAAGTACTACGCTGTGAATTGGAAAGGTAATCGATTCGACTATGACCCTATTTTCCGCGAATGCAAGGGTTAAAATTGTTGTGTTGCGTAGTGGGTTGTGAACCCAGACCAGGTGGTTGACAAAGTAGAAGGGCGTGAAGAGACCTATCATGACTATAAAGATGGAAAGGATGATTGACTTGGTTCTGAAAGGCGTAATGACATCTTTGATTTTGAGAGGGATGGTGACGCAGAGACATCTCTCCATGGTGATGAAGGCCGTGACGAGACTTGTGATTCTGAAATTAGATAAATGAAAGCGAGAATATTATTGTTAAAACAACAATAAAATATATTATAACCTAAGTCCCTGCTCCTGATGCGGGTTTTGCTTTTCAGTTCAGTTCGTATGGTCATCGCTAGCTTGCTTGCAAATGCTCCTGTGGTTAGAAGCTTTATATTCGTTAGCCTTCGCTTTTCAAATGGCATTGTCACGTTTTATTGCTTGTTTACCGCCTGCCTTACACATCTGTCCAGTTCGACCTAACAATCAGATTTCAACAGTCCTCATTTCTCACGTATTACTAAATGCTTACCAATTGGCGGTAGGTTCATTTTTATTAATATTGTTTTTATTATCATCATTTTTTTTCTCTAAAAAAAAATGAGGCCTAGCTATCCAAAAATGCAGATCACACATTTGATTTTGCATGCATGTGGAATTTTAAACTGAATTCCGTTCTTACATTTACCTAGCCTAAAATGGGTTCTGGAAATACCCTGGAAAGTAAAAGCTACCGGCTTTGTAATAAGCACACAACCCACCCACTACCGACCAGCTATCAACCCACAACCTGTTAGATTATTAAACACTTGCAAGAGAGGGAATTAAACCTGTAGTTACAATGGCTTGGCGAAAGGGTACTGTGATCTTGCTGCGATATCCCTCTTCAGTGATCATTGTTGTGAATCCTTTACAGGACGTTGCAGAACCAACCCCACAATTTTTTTTTTTTTTTTTTTTTGGTTTTTTTTTTTTTTGGTTTTTTTTTTTTTTTTTTGCTATTGTGGTTTTTCTAGGCAAATTTACGCCCAGTAGTTTGCCAGTTTTTTCCTGGACGGTCGGCTTCTCGATACCACTGTCGAAACCAACGCAAGGCCCACAGCTACGATAGAACCCGGCACCCTGGCATTACGAAGCGCGTTTGCAACGCCGTAGCCACAAACGCCGACTCTCATAAGAACATTTTCCTCATTTGTAGGTAATTGAAAATGCAAATTTTGTGGACTGATGTTTTCTGGCTTTGTGGGTCTTACTGTACACAGTTTCTATTGTAAATGTTAGTTTTAATTTATTCTGTTTAAAATCACTGTTTGATAGAGGATTCTGTGACATAATTTTTATGCATGGAGCTACCTTAAATAAAAGCAGTACCAACCGAATGAAAGAAACAATGTTAGCAGTAAGCTAATGTTTATTTAATGGATCAACATCATGGCACACGGGTTTAATCCATAAGTGCTCCATTCTTCTTCCAACTCAAGCCTGAGTCCAAAGAATCTCAGCACAGTGCACGAACACAGTTGCACCAGCGAGGATCCTGAAATACTTTGAGTAGATTTGTAACTCTTAATTTTTTTGCCCAGACAGCGTTGTTAGTCTACTCTTTTTGATTTCCAACTGTTAAGGTATTTTTTTACGTGCGCAACAATACACAAGGGCGTCCGGTCTTACTACCCAGAAACCAGGGGGGAATTAGTAGAAATCCACGTGAAAAAATCCCAGCTCTCACTAAGGCTTGAACGCGGGACCTCCAGCACTCGAGGTAGACACTATACCTCGAGACCACACAGCCCCCTAGCAGAAAGCTTTAGATGAAAGACACTAGATACACGTGACAGCAACATCGGTCAAGAAAAGCTATGATCTAATTGAGGAAAGCGTTTCTTAACTTGCTTGGGTCTGGCTAGTCACACTCGTCCTCGTCATGGGATGTGATTCCTATGGCTTCTCAAAGCGAAATGTAGCAGTATTGTCTTGAGAGCCGGAATGGTGCCAAAAGACAATCGATCTAATTGTTCTTTCGTGACCCACTTGCTCCGCATATGGCCGTATAAAGAATGGAGTTAGCTTTCTTCGACCCGCACCTATTATCTATTATTACATTTTCACCGTTCTTTTTAGGATGAAATTTTTCGTTCTTTGAAGCCCTACTCTGACTCTTGCCGGGGGCCGCGATATAGCCCGACCATAAATACGGCCTAAAGGCTGAACGCGGTTTCTGGGACCTCTCCACTGTGGTCCTCATCCACATAGTGGCACATTGTGTCATCGGCTGTTTATCGCTTGTGTGATGTCCTGGTTGGGTAGAATGTCAGTCAGTCAGTCAGTCTACCCGCACCTTTTACAAAATATTACACATACTTTTGCCAGCTGTTTTAAGAAGTTTTATCCAAAGCAAGTAGCACTGGTAAGAGAAAATCATACTTCTGTGTGTGTCAATTATTAGTTTTGGCACCACAACAGAGTATTAGGGGAACAAATGAACATAGTCGAACCTGTTGAAACATGCATGCGGCCAACCAGCACTTAAGTAGACCACATCGTAGGGGTTAAAGTTCAAGTCTGGGGATGCCAGAAGCGGGCTGAAGCCCACACTCATCCAGACCATAGTCAACGCGCAGCCTAGGTCTCCCACAGCCAGACCTGGAAAATGTGAGAGTCAAAACTGAACACCAACAAGAGAATTCTTATTTGATAATAATTACACCCACTTTTCGGGAGCCGCCATGGTGTAGTGGCTAGAGACACTTCTGGTGGATCCGCAGGCTGTGGGTTTAGCTACTGACAGAGACTCACTACATTTAGTCTGCCCAAAAAGATCGTGGCGGTAACAAAAGCAGCCGATTGGCAAAGACAAAAACTTTCACTTGAACAAGCTTTCTCTTTCTTGAATACTGGAAGGTGGGAGTGTAAGACGGGCCTGCGTGTCCAATTTGTGACCCTTTGAAAATATAGTTCGTTCTTTTGTTCTCTCGTTCCATGACTCATTGATTTAGCAGCATTGCAATACATCTAGCTTAGCGAAAGTGGTTTGGTCTCTAGCAAAGTACCCATTTTCACGCTTTTAAGTGCACTGGGCATATAGGGCTAGATCTATATTTTGTGAAACAACACCCCCAGACCCCCTTTACTTTACAGGATTACCAGTTACTCATTCAAGGCTAGGTCGACCTGGTAGCCAGGTCATTTCTGAAGGAAAAAATACCAGCTCCGTTTGTATTTGAACACATGACCTTCATATCTACAGGTAGACATCTAGCTGCTCCAGTACAGTAGCTCTCTTGAGTCTCTAGAGCGATCCGCTCGCTTAGACCTTCTTCCAAGTCAACGCTGACACTCAACGTCCAGGCAACAATGAGATTGAGAAGAAAAAAGACACAGACTTTCTCTTGAGTTTTTCGAGCGGTCACATTATAATGAGCAGCATATTACCAATTCCCCCCCCCCCCCCCTTTTTTTTCCCTACCTTCCATTCCCCCAAACAAGCGACGAGCCCATTTAGCGCCAATTACGTATCGGGCATGTGATGTTAGTTGCTTGATGTGGTGAGCATCGGACCGGTCGCTTTTACTTTCCATGTACCCGATACCCATTTTACGCTAGTTCGACCTGGGAGACAAGGCCAATTTTTTTTTTAGAAACAAAAATTCCACTATAGGCCTTTAATGAGGGGGGGGGGGCGGTGGACGTCTATCCGCTTTGTACAGTTGCTCAGGGATATCCTCAAAATCCTTGAGCCAATCCCAGTGTTCTTGTGGGGAAAATTAGTGGATAGCGGATCTGTATGACAAATGTGCTGTAGCAAAACGGCAGTTCAATGTTGAATGTTGAATTAGGAATCGATATCACAGCACTCGGGACACTCCCTTAAGTGCTCCGTCCCTATCTTCAACAGCAAGCGAAGAGTTCTGATTCCGATGGTACCAGAAAGAGTCTGATTGCTTATCTGTCTCTTCTTCTCCTTCTGCCTCTCTATCCTCCAATGGAGCATCGGCCCTCAAAAAACTCACGCCAAATCGTTCTATCCTTGGAGTTCTCCCCATGTCCTTCCCATCTATCTAACTTCATTTTCCAGCTCTCTTCCCCATGTTTTTTAGCCTTCCTTTATTCCTTTGCCCCTGTGGGTTCCAATGTAAAGACATTCTGCTTATACTCTTCTCCTGTTTTCTCAGAGTGTGTCCTATCCAAAGCAAGCGTCTTTTCTTCACCTCTGGATATCCACTGGAGCCTGTTTAGTTCTCTCCCAAAGTTCTACATTAGCTATTCTATCATGCAATTTAATTTCCTCTATTCTGCGCAGGCACCAGTTAATGAATGTCTGTAATTTATTAGTAATTGCCTTAGTTGTCCCTTATGTTTCCGCCCCATACAATAGTACTGATTTGACATTAGAATTACACATTTTTAGTTTAGTATTTCTTTTACTTTCTTTTGACCTCCACAAATTCCCTAGTGCTATGAAAGCTCCTCTTGCCTTTTGTATTCTTATTTTCATATCTCTATCAGTTCCTCCATCTCTATCTACATTACTGCCCAAATAGGTGTACGACTCCACATCTTGGAGTGGGGTGCCATTAAGATAAATTACATTACTGTTTGCCTGATTTAATCTCATTATGGATTTTCAGACCAAGCTGCTGTGATCTAGCATCAAGTATATTTAATTTATGTTGCATCTAATTCCGTGAATGGGACAAAAGAGAAATATCATCAGCGAAGTCCAGATCATCAAGCTGTTTTGTAGGGGTCCACTGAATTCCATTCTCGGTGTTATCAGTTACTGTTTTCATAATCCAGTCTATAGCCAGTAAAAATAAGAGAGGCGACAAAAGACAGCCCGCACACGTGTTTTTATTTCAAATGTATCTGTTAGCTTGCCCTCGTGAATAACTTGACATTTCATGTCTTTATATGTTGCCTTTACTAAGTTAATAATTTTCTGTGGGATTTCATAGTGCCCAATCAATTTCCGTCTCGCCCTTTCCTTAAGTCTTGAGCGTCGGCCACATCCCTTGGAAACTCCTTGCAGTACCATTCTTCTCAGACCCTAATGATCTATCTGCACCACCGCACTGTTCACTTGTTCCCAAAGGGTTCTCACAACATCCAGCTTGTCACATATCAATTCACAAAACGGCAGTTCAAGAGACACAAAGCGATCAACAAGCAACAAACAACCTACTTACCTAACAAACTGATGTTGATGCTGTCCTTAAATCCTTGTTTAATGAAGACGATTATATTCGTCACGTTTGCGCCAATTCCAAATAAACTCAGAATTCCGCAGATGGAGACAAACAGAACTATTCTAAACATCTCTTTGACATCACTGCTGACTGGGTCGGGGTTTGGTGACCCTATCTCTTGCACTAAGATTGTCAGATCTAAAAATACATTTTCCCTTGTACTGTTGGCAGATCCAGTGTCAGTTCTTGCTTGCAGTAACGCATCCATTTTTCACTTACTATTCACATATCTGACAAGCATCAAACATCTTCTTTCTACTAAATACAAAGACATTATCTAAGTAGCCAACACACAAATTAACACATTAGGAAAGCTCCTTTGAAATTACTCACATATAATTGTCGTGAACCAACACAATTCAGTGGAAATAACAGAAAAGATCAGGTATAAGTTTTCAGTATTTTGAACCATGGAAAAATGTATATAAACATGCCCTGAATAGATACAGTTTTGTGGGTAAAGCAGCTCTGTAACAAGTATTTAGAGATGATGAGGGCTCAACAATAAATGCGGTCAGAAGCTCACTTGTGTTACTACTCATTTTAGAGGCACTGCTGTGGCTTTAGACGCTGAACTTTTGAGGAGAATGCTTTCTTGGTGACCTAAAGGGTATGTAAGGAAGATTGAGATTTTCCAAGGTTCCTAGCCAGTGGTTGGAGTCTCTAAAGCAGTTCCAACAGAGATCAGTTCAGTCTGTGAACCTATAAACGCATTGTAGGGGGCTAATTTAGGGTTTTACGAGCAGACTTCTCATATCACTACCAAGAAGGCGAGAACTAGGATTAAAGATTTATACAGCCAGGGATGAGAGGCACACCAGACGTAAAAGAAGTCCTATTACCCAGTGTTGAATACGGAATCTGAACACCTATGGACATGTCCGGAGTGCTGTGAAGATAACACAAATCAAAACTCACACAAGATGATAAACCTATTGGCAATGCTGCTGTTTGATCGTCTAGCAATGGGCCAGGCTGACAATACTTAGCTGTTCGTTCATCCATCACAAGGGATGAGGACCAGTCTTTCTTTCATCCGTCATGAAATTACAGTTGAACGTTCGTGGGTCTGGAGGTGACTTAAAAGTCTAATGCGTGCTCGGAAAAGTCTAGGACAATAAGTGCAGGGTACGGTGCCTGTAGACAAAGGGCCTGTCTTCGCTGTTCAGCTGCCCGTGTTCTAGATGCTTCGCAGATCGTTGTACCATTTCGGATATATGTGCGCCTGTAAGCCCGGTCTTGTGCTGCAGCCTCGTAGTGTGTCAGCGTCTAAGCTGAAGGCTTTCAATGATACCTTTAGTGTGTCATTGAAACGCTTTTTCTGCCCCCTCCCCCCAATGAGAAGGTTGACCTTCACCTATCTCACCATAGACGATTAATTTTGGGAGCCGATGGTCAGGCATTCGAACAATATGGCCAGCCCATGAAATATGTGACTGCATCAGTATGGTATTGACAATACCTAATACTGCTAGAGAAATAACACTTTTTTTCCCGCTAACCATGACATGATAAGACTAGAAATCTGCGATCAGACGAAAACACACACGCATTCACACACACACTTACAACACACATACAAGGTGGGGCTAGACAGGATTTAATAAATCACAGACAAACAAAAAAAAAAACAGAAACGGACATAGTATCGCTAGCTGCTGAGTGATACACGGAAGAACGGAATCAGAAAATATAAACACTATGGCTGGATGTATGCAATTCGAAAATCTGTCCAGTGCTAAGGCACGCATGTAATGGCTGTAATCCTGCTTACACTTACCAGTGCCAAAGCCACTGTTCACATCTTGAATATAGCGAAAAGAACGCAGGCCACAAGCTTATGCCACTCATACAGAGCCAGTATGCTACCAGCTACTAGTTCTACTATTATTAGCTGCATACGCATAATTTCAACAGCCAAGTAAAGAGAATGAAAGAACTGTACCAATAGACTGGCAAAGAGTCCTTATAGTCCCAATTTGGAAAAGAAAAGGCAATAAGCAAGATTGTAACAATTACAGGGGCATTTCCATTCTAAGCCACGTAGGAAAAATGTTTGCCAAAATTCTGGAACAACGAATTAGATCCGTTTGTAGAACCGATCCTGAGCCCATCACAGGTCGGATTTAGGAAAGGAAGAGTGTGTACTGACGCTATTTTTGCTTTAAGACAAGTTAGCGAAAAGACAAAAGAACACAGACATCAAATGAACATCGCTTTCATAGATCAAGAAAAAGCTTTCGATAGAGTAAACAGAAATTTATTATGGAAAGTTCTTGAAAACTACGGTATAAATGGAACAATTTTAGATTGTGTTAGGGCTATTTATAGACAAAGTGAAAGCGCCATTAGAACAAGAGCTGGCATCACAGACTGGTTCCCAGTAACATCAGGAGT